TATACACACGTGTGTATATGTATACACCCATATACCTATCTCCCTGTGTGTTTTAGATACATATATGAACATTAGGTCATCATGCTTCTGGCATAGATTACGTGAAGCTATATAATCTATGCCTATATAATGGCATAGATTATATAGTTTGGGTCATGATTGATGTTCAAAATCTCCTGCTTCTTGAAGGATAGTTTGTCATATAGGATTATATGCGATTAGTATAGCCTGCGGTCCCTAACTTTAGATGCTATATGAGGATATCTTCACTTACACAGGAGGTGATAAAGTAAGCTCCCGGTATCTCATACTGAGCAGGTCGACTGAAGGAGGTCAATGTGGATAATTTGATAAGTGTTGATAATGGATAAGGACAATGACTCCTGTTCTTCTTATCTTTCATACTTAGTTTTAAAGATATGATAGCGGTTATTTCTACGATGTGTTTCTTTAGTTCATTCTCTTTTTTCACTACTCTCACGCTAAAAGAAAGCTTTCTAGCATCTCTGTGACTCATCTGAGTTTCCAGCTTCCGTCTATGTCTCTTTGATCTGTTTTGATTTCTTCTATTTCCACTATGTTAATCACCTTAAGTATTTTGTATGCTGCTATCATATCACTCACATGTGTGTACTCACCTTATTGTGCTTGCGGGGGGTTGAGCTCTGGCTCTTTGGTCACGCCTCTCAACCGTCAATCAACAGGTGTACAGGTTCCTGAGCCTATTGGGCTCTATGATATCTACACTTGAAACTGTGTATGGAGTCAGCCTCCACTCCATACACAGTTATGTGTGTGTGTGTGTGTGTGTGTGTGTGTGTGTGTGTGTGTGTGTGTGTGTGTGTGTGTGTGTGTGTGTGTGTGTGTGTGTTTATATATAAACTAAATACCACACTACCCTTGGATGTAACAATTAATTCACCTTGGGCACTGGATGTCTCGAACCTCCGACCCTTGGCACGGTAGACAGTCGCTCTATCAGCTGCGACTCTGGGTTTATCCTTAAATTAGGAAAGGAACCCAACGCAACTTGCCATCCCCGTGGCTGCAACTCAAGCCCAGGCCAAATTGATTAACCAATCCCCAAGCCGTGTAAACTGTATACCACACTTGGGCGTTTTCTAACTTTTGGATAGCTCTCTTTCACGTGTAAGTACACTTTCCTCTAGCAAGTGACGAGAGGATAGGCACTTTCCTAGCAGTAAGGTACACGAATTGACTATCCTTTACGGCAACTGCCATGCAGGGATAGTCGCTTCCCACCACGGTGACTTGTCGTTGGAGGATCTATCTTTAGGTTATCTTTAGATGATTTCGGGGCTTTAGTGTCCCCGCGGCCCGGTCCTCGACCAGGCCTCCACCCCCAGGAAGCAGCCCGTGACAGCTGACTAACACCCAGGTACCTATTTTACTGCTAGGTAACAGGGGCATAGGGTGAAAGAAACTCTGCCCATTGTTTCTCGCCGGCGCCCGGGATCGAACCCGGGGACCACAGGATCACAAGTCCAGTGTGCTGTCCGCTCGGCCGACCGGTTCCCTACATAAGAACATAAGAACAAAGGCAACTGCAGAAGGCCTATTGGGCCATACGAGTCAGCTCCTATTTATAACCACCCAATCCCACTCATATACATGTCCAACCCGCGCTTGAAACAATCGAGGGACCCCACTCCACCACGTTACGCGGCAATTGGTTCCACAAATCAACAACCCTGTTACTGACCCAGTATTTACCCAAGTCTTTCCTAAATCTAAACTTATTCAATTTATACCCATTGTTTCCTGTTCTGTCTTGTGTTGATACTTTTAATACCCTATTAATATCCCCTTTGTTTCGTGTTCTGTCTTGTGTTGATACTTTTAATACCCTATTAATATCCCCTTTGTTTCGTGTTGTCTTGTGTTGATACTTTTAATACCCTATTAATATCCCCTTTGTTTCGTGTTCTGTCTTGTGTTGATACTTTTAATACCCTATTAATATCCCCTTTGTTTCGTGTTCTGTCTTGTGTTGATACTTTTAATACCCTATTAATATCCCCTTTTGTTATGTCCATTCATAAATAGTCACCATCTTTTCTCCCTACGCAAGAAAAATCGGAAAATTATTGCGTATTTACATATTAATTAAACCGTGGGGGATCATGCTTACTTTTGGCCAATTATCCGGCCCAGGATGTTTATAGGGCCGGATACCCGAAGCTCAGCGTTAATTTATCCGGCGTATTACGGCCGTGAAGCTGTAGATATTTTGAAGTGTCTCCCCCTGCTACTTGGTGCGTTGATTGTCCTGTTAGATGGTGCGTTGATTGTCCTGTTAGATGGTGCGTTGATTGTCCTGCTACATGGTGCGTTGATTGTCCTGTTACATGGTGCGTTGATTGTCCTGTTACATGCTGAAATATAACAGGGACCTAAACTACCACTGTAACCATCTTTGCACAAATCCACAAGGGCCGTGACGAGGATTCGAACCTGCGTCCGGGAGCATCCCAGCCGCTGCCTTAATCGACTGAACTACGACATGGTCAAAAGAGTTGAAAGCGAAGTTCTACTGAACTTACTGGATCCTGCAGCCTCTCCGAGACACAAACCAGGGGTTTTACACAACAATATCTTTGCACCTTATCTTGAGGTTATCTTGAGATGATTTCGGGGCTTTTTACTGTCCCCGCGGCCCGGTCCTCGACCAGGCCTCCACCCCCAGGAAGAAGCCCGTGACAGCTGACTAACACCCAGGTACCTATTTTACTGCTAGGTAACAGGGGCATAGGGTGAAAGAAACTCTGCCCATTGTTTCTCGCCGGCGCCTGGGATCGAACCCAGGACCACAGGATTACAAGTCCAACGTGCTGTCCGCTCGGCCGACCGGCTCCCTACCGACCGGCTCCGACCTTGATGATAAGGCTCGAACCAGTGTCCTGGACTTGCTTTTAGTTACATAATCTGACGTCCGGTCGAGTCCAGAGCCGCTAGACAGTCCACATTGCTTTAAAAAAAAGTCCTATCGTGAGTTCAAGCGGACGCCAGCTTGTGTAACTTGGATCACGTCGTGGTCCAGTGGGCGCACGGCGTGTGTCTGGGGGTTACCCAGGATCGATCCCGCAAGTCCTACTCGGAAGATATTGAGATAGATGTATACGCTACTTTGTTTTCATGGTCTGCTAAGAGTACAATGACCCTCTGATTTTTTTGGCATAATCTACAAGTTTTATATACAAAATATATACATTTTATATACAAAATATATACATTTTATATACAAAATATATACATTTTATATACATTTTCTAGCATACTTAGCCTGTTAAAGAACTGTGCATATATACACGTTCAATGTAGCATCATTTGAAGTACCAGTTTCTTAAAACAGTCCGTCCTCCTAAAATTTCCCAAAAGTCAAGAAAACGGTCTAATTTAAAGTAGTTTCTCCTAACCTACCAGAGGACCCACAACAGAAAACGGAACAGTACGTCACTTTTTCGCCAGCCGCTTCCATTTTCCAGTACGACAAATTTTTTGATCTTATGTAACGCATACGGTCGAAATGCGACGTTCTTTGTAAGATGGTAGGTTGCTTAGCAAAGGTTTACCAGCGTAACCTGTATTGACTAACTTTGGTTTACCAGCATCAAGTATGCCTAATTTCTTTGATTTAACAAGGTAAACTGTGCAGTCTACTTTTGATTTACCAAGTTAAACAGTAAACTGTGCAGTCTACTTTTGATTTACCGAGTCAAACATTAAACTATACAGTCCACGTTTGATTTACAATGGCAAACTATGCAGTCAACCTTTGATTTACTAAGGTAAACTGTGCAGTCTACCTTTGATTTACTAAGGTAAACTGTGCAGTCTACCTTTGATTTACCAAGGTAAACTATGCAGTCTACCTTTGATTTACTAAGGTAAACTGTGCAGTCTACCTTTGATTTACTAAGGTAAACTGTGCAGTCTACCTTTGATTTACTAAGGTAAACTGTGCAGTCTACCTTTGATTTACCGAGTCAAACATTAAACTATACAGTCTACATTTGATTTACCAAGGTAAACTATGCAGTCTTCCTTTGATTTACCAAAGTAAACTCATCTGTGCACCTATGAAATGTACCTTTGAAAAGGCGATCTCTCTCGCCTCTCACGTGCGTGAGAGAATGTTTGCGTGTGCGAGAGAATGTTTGCGTGCGTGAGAGAGCACTCAACCGCACGAAAGAGCCTCCACGCACGTTAGGGCAGAAGATCACTAAGATTCCATTCGTGAGGAATGCAAATCAGTGAGGAATTCAAAGAAAAATTATGACGCGAAGGATGTAATTGACTACATGGAAAAGGAAGTAAATAATGTGGAAGAGGAAGTCAATAATGTGGAAGAGGACGCCAATAATGTGGAAGAGGAAGTCAATAATGTGGAAGAGGAAGCCAATAATGTGGAAGAGGAAGCCAATAATGTGGAAGAGGAAGTCAATAATGTGGAAGAGGACGCCAATAATGTGGAAGAGGAAGCCAATAATGTGGAAGAGGAAGCCAATAATGTGGAAGAGGAAGCCAATAATGTGGAAGAGGAAGCCAATAATGTGGAAGAGGAAGCCAATAATGTGGAAAAGGAAGTAAATAATGTGGAAGAGGAAGTCAATAATGTGGAAGAGGACGCCAATAATGTGGAAGAGGAAGTCAATAATGTGGAAGAGGAAGCCAATAATGTGGAAGAGGAAGCCAATAATGTGGAAGAGGAAGTCAATAATGTGGAAGAGGACGCCAATAATGTGGAAGAGGAAGCCAATAATGTGGAAGAGGAAGCCAATAATGTGGAAGAGGAAGCCAATAATGTGGAAGAGGAAGTCAATAATGTGGAAGAGGAAGCCAATAATGTGGAAAAGGAATCAAATAAATGTTGTTGTGGAAGGGGGGAGACGGTGTAATGGAATGGAACTACATAATGTGAGAAAGGAAAGCATTCAATGTGGAATAGCAGGCTCACATAATGTGGAATGGGTATTGTGGAAGAGGAAAGACAATATATTAAAAAATAATTCATAAATATCCAATTATCCAATTTCTGCTGTCTCAGAGGTGGGAGGGGAGGGGGGAGGGGAGAGACAGCAGATTAAATTGATTAGTTTTAATTTGTTTACTTCTGTTTGATTTCTTGTTTGCTGTAGAAAACATAGCACTAAGTTTGTGTGTGTATTGTAATGATGTTTGTGTATGTGTGTGTGTGTGTGGTGCGTATGGGTGGTGTGTGTGCGTATATATGTACGTATGAGCGTGCGTGCTTGCGTGCGTGTGTGTTTGGGTGCGTGTGTGTGTGTTAGCCGGGTCATATAAAAACAGAGAACCGCGGTAAAGTCAGGGCGGTCAGACCAGTCTGAAGGGAAAGGAAAAACAGCAACCATTGGCCAGAGAAGAGAATAGGAAAGGAGGAAAAACTATTAATTGAAGTTGTAATTGGCCAAAGACTGGAGAAAGTCCTGGGCAGGAAACCTGGTGGTGGAGGCGGCGAATGAGAGAGAGAGAGAGAGAGAGAGAGAGAGAGAGAGAGAGAGAGAGAGAGAGAGAGAGAGAGAGAGAGAGAGAGAGAGAGAGAGAGAGAGAGAGAGAGAGAGAGAGAGAGAGAGAGAGAGAGAGAGAGAGAGAGAGAGAGAGAGAGAGAAAGAGCGAGAGCGAACGAACTTGGTGTGTGGAAGAGTAGGAGAAATGAACTCAAAAACACACACACATACAACCCAACTCACTGGTATAAAATGTGTGCGTTTCGTTACTGATCAACTACGTTATTGTGGCTTGTTATTTTCAGACAGAGACAGGTAAGCACGGAACAGGAGAGTAGGGAAGAGCGACGGGACAGGGTGGAAGCGGAGACGGAACGGGAGTGACAGAATCCACACACACACACACACACACACACACGATATAAATGATAGAATAATAAATAGAGATAGAAGAATAATAGAGATAAACGATAGAAATGATATAATATCAGACAGACAGTATGGTTTTCGATCTGGAAGATCCTGTGTATCGAATTTACTCAGTTTCTATGATCGAGCCACAGAGATATTACAGGAAAGAGATGGTTGGGTTGACTGCATCTATCTGGACCTAAAAAAGGCTTTCGACAGAGTTCCACATAAGAGGTTGTTCTGGAAACTGGAAAATATTGGAGGGGTGACAGGTAAGCTTCTATCATGGATGAAAAATTTTCTGACTGATAGAAAAATGAGGGCAGTAATCAGAGGCAATGTATCGGAATGGAGAAATGTCACAAGTGGAGTACCACAGGGTTCAGTTCTTGCACCAGTGATGTTTATTGTGTACATAAATGATCTACCAGTTGGTATACAGAATTATATGAACATGTTTGCTGATGATGCTAAGATAATAGGAAGGATAAGAAATTTAGATGATTGTCATGCCCTTCAAGAAGACCTGGACAAAATAAGTATATGGAGCACCACTTGGCAAATGGAATTTAATGTTAATAAATGTCATGTTATGGAATGTGGAATAGGAGAACATAGACCCCACACAACCTATATATTATGTGAGAAATCTTTAAAGAATTCTGATAAAGAAAGAGATCTAGGAGTGGTTCTAGATAGAAAACTATCACCTGAGGACCACATAAAGAATATTGTGCAAGGAGCCTATGCAATGCTTTCTAACTTCAGAATTGCATTTAAATACATGGATGGCGATATACTAAAGAAATTGTTCATGACTTTTGTTAGGCCAAAGCTAGAATATGCAGCTGTTGTGTGGTGCCCATATCTTAAGAAGCACATCAACAAACTGGAAAAGGTGCAAAGACATGCTACTAAGTGGCTCCCAGAACTGAAGGGCAAGAGCTACGAGGAGAGGTTAGAAGCATTAAATATGCCAAAACTAGAAGACAGAAGAAAAAGAGGTGATATGATCACTACGTACAAAATAGTAACAGGAATTGATAAAATCGACAGGGAAGACTTCCTGAGACCTGGAACTTCAAGAACAAGAGGTCATAGATTTAAACTAGCTAAACACAGATGCCGAAGAAATATAAGAAAATTCACCTTCGCAAATAGAGTGGTAGACGGTTGGAACAAGTTAAGTGAGAAGGTGGTGGAGGCCAAGACCGTCAGTAGTTTCAAAGCGTTATATGACAAAGAGTGCTGGGAAGACGGGACACCACGAGCGTAGCTCTCATCCTGTAACTACACTTAGGTAATTACACTTAGGTAATTACACACACACACACACACACACACACACACACACACACACACACACACACACACACACACACACACACACACACACACACACACACAATAAAAACAGTTCGGTAACTATTATGTATTCCAATGCAGGAATTAGTTCGAGGTAGTTTGCTGCACTATTAGTCATCATTTCCCATTAGTCAACCATCTTCTTAATGGTCAGGGAACTATCAGAAGACAGCGCCAAGCCATAAGGATTATACAGCACTTGGATAAGGATTTGGGATGGGACAGGGGAAAGGAATGGTGTCTAACCACTTAATCCACGGTCGGGGATTGAACGTAGACCTGCATGAAGCCAGACCGTAGCTCTACCGTCCAGCCAAAGTGGTGTAAATATGAAGTCTGTAAGTGGAACCGATATTCGGAAGTTAATTTTCCTACGGATTAGTCTAAGTGACTGGATAATCAGAATCATTTTAAGAATGATATATTCGGTAAACACTGACCCTAAAAGATTAGAAACTCCAAAAAGTATGTTGACCAGACCACACACTAGAAGTTGAAGGGACGACGACGTTTCGGTCCGTCCTGGACCATTCTCAATCGACTTGAGAATGGTCCAGGACGGACCGAAACGTCGTCGTCCCTTCAACTTCTAGTGTGTGGTCTGGTCAACATACTTCAGCCACGTTATTGTGACTCATCGCCTGCAACTCCAAAAACTCTCATTGACGAAAGAATATAATACATCTAATACAATAGTGACAAGAAAACACGGTTTAAAACACATACAACAGTCGCTTTCAACAATAATATACAAGAACTTCCTTTTGAGAAAACAGACCATTTGGACAGCCATACAAAAAAAGATTATTTAGGGCTATTTCCCGCCGTGATAAATTACCCTTTTTTTTGGATTGGGGGGGGGGGGAGGAAGGGTCAAAACCACTTCTCCATCACGTAGAGTGGTTAGAAAAACCCACATCTGGCGCAAGATCAAACACCTGCCTTACCCAAGCCAACAATACTGGCACATATTCAAACACCTGCCTTCTCATCTCCTCCCTTCCCCCCCTCCCCCTAAACACATGGCCTTGAGAGGGACGTGGCTTCAAGCCCACTCATGCCTTGGGTACGGGATCCCTGACCCAAACAGTTGATAAAGGTATGATAGAGCCCAATAGGCTCAGGAACCTGTACACCTGTTGATTGACGGTTGAGAGGCGGGACCAAAGAGCCAGAGCTCAACCCCCGCAAGCACAACCAGGTGAGTACGTGGGACAGAAAAAACTATAAACGATATAAGGTAAACAGATCAAGTCAATTCAGTTATTAACAGAGCATAAACAAACAAAAGACAGTCATATAGAAAACGGCTCTGACAAAAAGAAGGAAAACTATACCAAAAATTACCCAAACTACCAAAAATATGTCACTACTGAACATTAGGGAGTCGGTCGGCTGAGCGGACAGCACACTGGACTTCTGATCCTGTGGTCCCGGGTTCGATCCCGGGCGCCGGCGAGAAACAATGGGCAGAGTTTCTTTCACCCTGTGCCCCTGTTACCTAGCAGTAAAATAGGTACCTGGGTGTTAGTCAGCTGTCACGGGCTGCTTCCTGGGGGTGGAGGCCTGGTCGAGGACCGGGCCGCGGGGACACTAAAGCCCCGAAATCATCTCAAGATAACCTCAAGATAGGTAACATGAAGAAATAGTTTCATAGAAAATTCAAGTGAAAATTACTCTGAATCCACATTAAGAAGAACCTCACAAGAAAGAGACTCGATCATAGCAAAGACAAAATTATATATTTTAATATACATTCAAAAATTTACCTAAAATAGTTTAACTAGTACGACTAAACGCGACTACGACAACACGACTATGTTATCATCCAAGCTAGAATGATATCAATCTAATCATTGCAAATAGGAACCACTGAATATCATATCAAGGTTTGCAAATCATAATCTATAAATCAAAGCCTTGCATGCGAGTATTAACTGATGCATTACTGACCAAACATATGATCGACATGCGATAGAAGTTTAATAACTTGAACTTTAACAGCAAGAGTAAAGAGAGAGGTTTAGGATAAACAAAGGACTCTCCAATCATCCTGGAAATAATCGCCCTGAACACACTAATCTCCAACCAATGCACAGGAAAGTTAAACACGGAACCGAGTAGTATCTATAATATCTTTCCAACGAGAATGAAGATAATGAGGTTTAACCAGGAAAGAGAACCGCAGATGACTATAGGAAAGAGAAAGTCGCAGAGAGAAAGGGTAAATCATGATAACAAAACCTAACAATCATTCGTGAAATCAGTTTATCTTACAATTTACATATTGGAAATTCACACAAATTCTCCAGACCTTGATATGGAAACTTGAAAATACGCTTCTGATATCTTCTGTTTCGTCGGAATTCAAAAAGTTCAATATATTTACAAAACTTAAAATACCTCTAGAGGGGACACTCTGTACTTTGACTTCTTTGAACTTTGACTTCTATGAAGAGGAAGCAAAATAAGGGTTTAAACCACAAGGCTAAAATAACCCAGAAATAAGGGTTAAAACCCCAAGGTTAAAACCCCAAGGCTGAAAAGCCACAAGGTATTTCAACCTTGTGAATTTAACAATGGATATAGCAACACGGAAATAAACACCGCTTTAAGAAGACACCTGGACCGATGGTACAAGCCTAAACCTAGAA